AATTACGGGACCTCAACAGATCGGTGGAATCCTTGCGCTGAGGTGGTACCAGGGATGGTCAACACGGTCAACACATCTCTGCATAGTCCGGCGCTGGCAAAATCTAAAATCACAAAACTGACTTTGCATCAGACCTAAAATCCCTGAGATTGGTTCAGTGCCTGGTCTTTAGGTACCTGACCATTTCTGATAGGTGATCGGAGATCGCACAGCTGGATGGGAGCCCTGATGCTTGGGGTTCGATTCCGGGGGTGTGCAACTGATCTGACCATGTAAAGCCGAACAAAATAGCCCGAAGCAACGTAGAATTTTAACAACATACCATATAAAAACAGTCCTGGACTCAGGACCATGAATCTTTAGAATGTTTGGGCTATGATCCGCTATGACCCAACGCAGGCGCCTAGGCGCCAATGCACACTCAGGGGCTTCTCTGTCAGCAACCCCCTTGGGTTTGTCATCATTCCCAAACACTCCGGAACATATGCCATATATTGCCATCTGTACATTGACCCCACGAACCAGCCATTGGCATTGGCCCGGCCAAACCACCCCGGGCGGTCCCATGACGTCGTCTTCGAAACGGGTCGGACGACACGGGTCGGCCTGGTCGCTGGAGGTGGTTCCCAGAGCCACCTTTGCATTGAGAACCACTTGATACGTCCTGAGAACCGCCGGTTTGACCGAACCAGAAGCCGGTCAAACCCGGATCGACATGAAGTCCTGTATCCTCAAACATAGGCCTGTGGAATCCAGGCAGGGTCAAAGAGGTTCCACATGGTTCTAGGACGTTCTAGGATGTTCTAGATACCAATAGACTTGACAATGGTAGAGGCCGAGTGAACGCTGCTGTTCATGGACAAACTCTATATAGTGCCGGGTTTTGTCCGACCGTTTTATGCTGCTGCCCATGAAGTAAAGCCCGCCTTGTGCCTACCAAGTGTCTAGGAAAGACTTGCGAATCTTGGGGCAATGGTTGGTCGAGCAGTCTCTTCTAGCGTTTCTACTTTGCTCTTCGTTCCAACATGTTCCAACCAGGGCTTGCCAACGCTGTTTATGTCAAAAACAAAAACGGGCACCGCTAGCTGCTAGCAGTTGCATACCATTGCTACTTTCCCTTTTTTCAACTGCTTGTCATTCGTCTTCTTTGCAGCAATATACCCATCAAATCTAGACTGGCAACAGCTGAGCTCAAAAAGACAGTGCAACCCACCAGGTCTGCAGGTCGCCATGGAAAGGCTGGCGGAGCAGTCGGAAAGAGATAGTCTCGACGTCTGAAAGACCCACGACTTGCGTCTCGTCTCCTGCTCTTCGCGGTGAATCGAATACTCCTAGTTCTTTGCTTCTTCTTCTTCTTCTTCTTCTTCTTCTTCTTCTTCTTTCTTCCGTTCTTTGTTCTTTCACCCATACGCCACATCACTCCACCGGTGGACAGTGGTGGTCTCCTCTCGACCGGATCAACTGATGTCTCCAGTCCCGGTCCCGGTCCCAGGCTCTTCCGCCGGTCCAAGCCATTCTTGGGATGGAAGAGGACATTCATCTCCCGCGTCTGACCTGAGACGAGACGTTTGGGACGTCCCACCTCTTCAGGCTGAAGAGTCCAACGAGATCCGGCGAGCGAGCGAGCTTGACCCGGGCCAAATGGTCCGGGCTTTGGTCCGGTTAGAGACGGAATTCGGTGTTTCCACAACGGTTTCTGGACTGAAAATGACTGAGTTTCTACAGGCAACATCATGAGTTGGTCAAAACGTTCAAATCTGAAATCTCTTTTCAATAGAAAGGCTTGACCATGGGACCATGGGCCCCTGAGCTGATGAACTTTTATTTAATCTTTGAACAACAACGAGCACTGCATGCACTGTTGCAATAGATGAGATTGGTGAGATCCGCGATGAGCCAGTGGCTCCAACCAAGCTCTATCAAGTCAGGCAAAGCAGGTGCCGGCACGCCATATATATCCTTTTTGTGCAGTCTGTGAGATACATCCAAAGCCAGCTTGAGTTTCCATTGTCCAGACATGTCTGAAGCCAAAACTAATCTGCAAGCTTTGGTCTGGTTTCAGCCTTCTTTGCTGTTTTGCCAACTGACCAATTGGCCAATCTGAGGTCAACAATCTCTGTAGCATCTAGAACTGTGCCCCTTCACAGCAGACCGAAAGGAGGGCAGCTTGTCGGAGCGATCCACGACGCGCGGACGAAGGGCAGCGTTTCGAAACGCGCCTTGCGCGGGTCCGAAGTAGCAGCCCTTGGGCAAGGGGAAGCCCTTGGCATCATCTGACCAAAGCCTGGGATGGGTGAGATCCAGACTGTGATATTGGAGACGCCCTTATATAGTGATGTCTTACTGGAATGTACTGGATGACAACCAGCTTCTAACCAGCCTCTAAGGGGTTAACTAATGTTGATCCATGAAGGTCTGGTGGTGTAGAGTTTCCCATCAAACTGTCTCAGGGTCGATCCAGTTCCATGCCGGTTCCATTGTGGGCAACCTGAAGAGGTTACCTTGCCGCCTCTTGTCTTGATTCAAACACATTGAATATTTAGCCTTTGGCTGGTTGGCAAGTTCTGTCATGTAGCATCCAAAGTGCAGTGAAAAAAACATTGTGAGGAACAAACATGGATCCATTTGGATCCATTTGGCCTCACATCGTCTAATTTACATGGTTCAGTGCTGCTGAGATGTTTTCCACCAGGCCAGTGCTTGAAGCCCCGAGGATGCGGCCACACAGCGCCCTTGAGTGAGACACGCATGCCAAAAACGGGTCCAGCCCAAAGGAGGGCTGGAAGCCGTAGCTTCTGAGAAAGTATTTGGACCTTGCTAGGAAAAAAACAACAGGGCAGCCGGGCAGCAACCAAATACACCAGTGGATGGCTGCCATGACATCCGAAACACACGAAACGGTGGTGAACTCCACTTCGTATTCCAGGGAGCGGTATCTTCATATCTAGACTCCTAGTCCATAGTCCTACACACCGGTTTACAAGCACCGATGTGCCACTCCATCTGCAGAATCCGAAGGTTCCTTCGTTTTGGTTCCGACCTCATCTCAAACAACAAATATCCGGAACAATCTGAAGGATATGAAGGAAAGGACAATTCATTGTTCCGGAAGATTCAGAAGTGAATGGAAGATATCTGAAGGAAACCCGGAAACCAATCGTTTGGGGAGTGAAAACCCATGGTTTCATGACGTGTCCTGCCGTTCCCTGGGTTCACGAGCCATGTTTTCCATCGCCAAGGCACTCAAGGAAGAAAGCACCACACACCTCAAAGCAGTGGCGCAACTTCAGCTGTGGTTACTCATGTAAAGGAATCTACTTGGATGTGTAGCTCAAATATAGAGAGAGACCTCCCAGACGTTCCGACCAGTTAGGAAAATAGACCAGCCTGCCAGTCTACCCATTGGTTGAGGGTTCCCCTATACTATATAGACATACAGACCCACTTGACTGTCACTCAGCTATGTTTGCCGTCCCAAAAAAAGCAGCTCTGGCTGCATTTCTGGCCCATCAGACCTCATGTCACAGCCTGTTCAGCACAGGTCCAGTTCTATCCAAGAAGTTCCAGGCTGACGAGTAGCAGACAGCACGGCTTCATCCAAGGAATTGCCGGCCTGTGCAGCAAGTGGGATGTCTTTTTCTCATTTGGCCTCTGTTCCGACGGGCGGGTTGCCTTGTTCAGTTCCGTCGTTTCAACCCCCCCTGAAGGGTGGACCTGCGGGTGTTCGCTTGGGAACTACCAAGAAGTTTGTTGCCATGAACACGAACCTCCAGTAAAAAAGACATGCAAAAGCCTGCTGGAGGTGGCAGGTGCTTGGAAAAGAATCGTGTCTTCCATTTTTCTTCTACCCTCTCTCCAAGCTCCCTCCCTCCTGTGGCAAGCCGGGCGGTATTTCCTCAGTTTCTGTGGGTCCAGCGCAGATGTCCTACCGGTTGGAGATGTCCTACCGGGTCCTACTGACACCCCGGGTCGTACAGTATACCTATGACAGGACACCCAAGGGGAGGGTATAGTCTTATGTAGTCTTATTGGACAGAGCTAGGTGAATGGTGGGATGATGTGGGGTGTGTCACGAGCTATATATAGGAGCTCCAATCGGCTCTGCTGAGCTGGTAGATCCATCAATTCGCACCAATTCAAAAGGAGTTGAAAGGAACTTCCGTAGGTGTACTGGTCATTGGTCTAACATCCGCTATCCTAAGGTCGGTATCAAGTCTTTAGCCCTATCAAATGAAGCAATACGCATTCCAAATTGATAGGGCCCCAACTCCCTCTCCCTCTCCCTCTCCCAAGCTCATCTAATATCGTAATATCCACGATGCACGGACCCTCCAAGCCGGAAAAAAACACGAAACTACGAGGACATGAGAATCAACGCGCGCACACCACAATTATCGACATATACCAGCGCAGGTCTCCGAAATGGAGTCTTTCGTAGACTTGGAAAGTGGCAGGTGGTGCCTGGTTGGAGGGTGCTGGTAGAGACTACTAAGCTCTCATAAGTATATAGAGACCCGACCCCACAGAGCCTGCAGCCCACTCCCCTCCGCCAGCTCTGTTTTCTGAGGCCACAACTCGATGGCTTTGCCATCGAGCTGGACAAGGGATCGTCTGCACTAAGTCAACATCAAAACATCGGACCTCAGAACTTGTACCTGGCTTCCGGGCATGAAACTCCTGCTCATTTTGTGACATTTTCTTGGTCCGGTTTTGACCTGTTTTGACCGAAGATTCCAATTCAAATGGTGTGAGTCATGGGCTGCATGCCAAACTTTGCTTGCAGGACACTGATGTAATGTCATAAAGTTCATTTGTCCATTTGCATCCCACATGGGTGAGTTCATCATAGTTCATCTCAGAGAAACAATTATTTAATTGTGGTTGATTCATCATCCCATTCCCAGGCAGTCTATGGGACTGGAATATTGAAGACTTATATTGGGGTCAGGTTATGTTTTGATAAGGGGTGAATGTAGGTAAATACTAATGGATTCTACTGTAGGGGATTGATGATGATTGATGACTCACACCCCGAAAAAGCGGGCTCACTTTGCTGGCGCAAGGGGCACACTTCGGTGCGCTCAAGCCGGCCCGGGCGTCTCCAGGACGATCAGCTCCAGGAGGGCGCGTTGCAGGAGGGCGCCCGAAAGCATATAGGTCAAAGTGCAGGCGCCCAGCACTCCTTGATCCGCAGATTGGTGGCACATGGATGGTTTAAAACACGAACTGAAGAACTGAAAGATGTGAGGAATTTGAGCTGATTGGAGGGGCCTGCGGTTCCCATTCTCCGCTCCGGGGTTTAAATATGTTGAAAAGGGTAAGCGATTGAAAGACCAGCCCATACCTCAAAGGGGAATCAAAACAAACTGACTGGTGCTCAGCAAGGAATAAGGGAATGGATCCTAAGGAAGTTGGATTGGGAGGTATTTCCCTCATTCCCTACGAGTCGCACCAGTCAGCAAATCTGGCCAGAGGCCGGTCCCGTTCATTGCCACTTTTCGCGGTTGCTGAACTTCAGGCTGATTCCCAGCTTTGCACCGGAAGATTTGATGTTATATTTATAGGGTTTTCATAGGCATGGCACCCGGAGGCCGACCAAACACTTTTCACACATGGTGACCGAAACCACTTACCCCATCCCCACCAACGCCCTGGGCGAGCTTCGCCCTGGGCGTTTCACGTCCGATCGAACGACCTCGGGTTAACGACGTTCAGTCGTTCGTCCCCGTGACGGGCGGCCGATGGAGGCGGGTGGCAGGGGGTCTAAGCACCGAACCGGAAATGGGCCGTTCGGTGCCTTAGGGCCTTTTAGGGCTCAACAAGACCCGTGGAACCGAACGCTTCGATCGACCGGGCAGGCGAAGGTCCGAAGCTGGGCTCGAAGATTCGAATCTGCGGTGTGGCTATTGCAGCTTGAAGGTCTGAGTCTTCTAAGTGTCTTCTAGGAAACATGAGTGTGTGTGTGTAACCTTTGGAGTCACAAGGTTTCTGTTGGATTGTTAGGCTTGAATACTTAAGCAGGGGGACTGGAGCCGATTCGCCTATCCAGTCCAACGCAGCTATGGCATTTCGGTGGATGAGTGGTCTGATCAGCCACTTGTACCTGCATGTTCTGACTTGGAATTTCCCATGTGGTCCCGTTGTAACTAGAACAAGATGACCAGCCATTGCATCTGTTCACCATCGGCAGTCACGCACTTTGGTTTGAGTTTGAGCTTGGAGGCTTGCAGGATACTTGTCGCTTTGAGGGAAGTCTTTTCGAGATGTCATTTCGTGATGTTTACCTGGACCCTGGGCCCTTAAGTTTTTCACTTAGGCTGGCATGTGGCAAACCGCAGCCAAATCAGTACGCATTTCTATAAGTGTGTCTCTCCTCGTGAGAGCCCAGGGTGAGCCCGTAGAGTGCCCCCTGTGGACCCGTCGAACGGGGGTTTGTCGAACGTATGCCCTGCCTGGATACAGAGCAGCTCGCAGCGAGCGTAGGAGGCTCATGCCGCTATGCCAAAGTTATTTGCCAAGACTTGAGGAATTATTGAATTCAAAGTAGGCAGTCTTCGGAACCTGTTGCCACCTCAGGCAGTCTTCGGAACCTGTCGCCACCTCAGGTGCACACACACAGCGCGTACATTTGCAACGAGGTTCACCTAGGTTTTCTAATGAGGTTCGGGTTCATTGGTTTTCGTCCCCTCCATTTGGTTTCCCTTTTCATCCCTTCCCCTTCGCACACATTTGTTTTCCTCTTTTCTTTCATGTCCTCCTGTCTTCATGTTCTGTCATCTCATCCTTTCTTTCGTTGGCGCGCACAGCGGTCCTGGCCTTAGTGTGTACGTGTACTTCTTCATACACTGTAAACACAGGTTTCAGGTCGCCCAGGTCTTGACAATGAGGTGGGGTTCGTCGGTTGTCCCTGTGCACTTGGTTTCTTTTTCATTGCAGCCACGCACACCTTTGTCCCGTCTAGTCCTCCTTCTCATGTCTTCATCCTTTTGTCTTTGTTGCGCGCACACTTCCACAACCATGGGCTGCGCCGTCCTCGCCTTAATTCTTTTTGCCTCCCCTCGGGGAGGCGTGTGTGTGTGTGTAACCTTTGGAGTCACAAGGTTCCTGTTGGACTGTTAGGCTTGAATACTTAAGCAGGGGGACTGGAGCCGATTTGCCTATCCAGTCCAACGAAGCTATAGCATTTCGGTGGATGAGTGTTCTGATCAACCACTTGTACCTGCATGTTCTGACTTGGAATTTTGCATGTGGTCCCGTTGTAACTAGAACAAGATGACCAGCCATTGCATCTGTTCACCATCGGCAGTCACGCACTTTGGTTTGAGTTTGAGCTTGGAGGCTTGCAGGATACTTGTCGCTTTGAGGGAAGTCTTTTCGAGATGTCATTTCGTGATGTTTACCTGGACCCTGGACCCTTAGGTTCTTTCACTCAGGCCGGCGTGTGGCAAACCGCAGCCAAATCAGTACGCATTTCTATAAGATTCTATAAGTGTGTGTCATTCATAGTCATTCTATAATTCTTTTTTTTCTATTGTCAGGGAGCAGGAGCAACAAATGGACCAAAATTCAGCCAAATGCAACTGGAAAGAGGGTTCATATGGAACAAACACCACCGAAATGTCAAACAGAATCGATTTTCATTGGATCCAATTGGAGGCTCTTGGAATTCCACACTCGTCATCCCACAGCCACTCACTTCAAATACACCCGGTCCTGCAACCAGCCAGCAGCCCCGGCGCAAGACAGCCCATGAGTAGTTGCTGGCCTTCGCCAAGCGCCGTGCCCCACGTAGGTTTCCCAGCAACAACGCAGCCCAAACATCGTCTGGCTTCACCGTGGCACCGCCCGTGAGCAATCGTCCAATCACCTGTGGTCCGCCAGTGTGAAGGCAAGAGCCTTTCTGTTGGGAAAACAGCGGCCCAAACATCCAAAAGAAGAAGCCATGCCATGTGCGTGAGGCGAAGATCACAAACAAACCGAGCTGGGAACACAATAGAATAGAACCTATAAAATTCGATGCACATAGCGTGTTTGGGTCTTTTGGGACATGGGTACGTCCAATGAGGCATCAGACCACTGCCTATGCTCGTCCTGATTCGAGACCTTCTTAACTGGAGGTTGTTACCATGGTTGCTGGTGCTCGGGCAAAGTTGGGCCTTGGGGCTCCGTATTCTTCAGCTCAAGTGACCATCTTGTAGATGCTAACCTGCACTAGGGGTATGGATACGATGGTTTACCATGGTTTACCATAACCGTAACTTTAGGTTTACCGATCAAAAAAACAAAGTAGTCAAGAACGTCGGTGCGTAGGGCCTGTGGTGGGGACATTCTGACGCACCAAAATGGTGACTAGCAGTGTTGATGGGACAAACCCTGGTTTTGGGATGCGCAATGATGCTTTTATAGCACCCTATAGCTAAAATAGACCTCCCGCAATTATCTTGAACAGGGTTTACAATCCAAGGCAGGTGTGGTGTTGTTGCTGCTGGTGTTGTTGTTGTTGCTTTAAACATCGATAAGGCCACCCACTCTCACCCTTCCCCACCTCTGTGTGTCCATGTAGCACCGCCGTGCGCAAGGGTGAAGGCCCAACGTGGCGGTTGGGATTCGCTCCACCTAGCGAAGTAGGTGGGGACTTTCCACATATACGTTCACCCCAAAGAAGGGACTTGATGATCTTACCTTTCCACTGGCCCATCCCACATTCTTCTCATTTCTTCTCGTCATCGTATGACTCCGGTGCTGAGACCTCCCTCCAATCAATCCCTTAATGACTTGGTGGGACTCTGGGCGGTTGCGTTGTAGACCGTCTACAGTAACTGCTTATTCCCTATGGACCTTTGGTCAAATCGTGCTAAGGTGTTAGACCCACCCCTCGGGGAATTCCAGAAGGCGTATATTATCATGGAGGACTCAACATTTGAATAATACCATCCAAGCTCAGTCCTCACGGTCTACAATGTTCATGTAAAAAAGGTCTACAATAAAAAACGGTTGAACACGTGACCATTTCAGACCTTGATGTCTCAGACCCTCCGGGGTCACCCATGCAATAACCCTAGTACTTGAGGTCATTTCATAGCCGGGTCAAACTCATTCTAAGAGTCCACACACTATAGATCCCTTCCACTTCCACTCCTCCACACTCCGCACGACTCGCACGACTTGCACCTGTCAGCAGCCGGCTCACCGCTTCCGCGTGTCCTCCCCGCACCGCCGCATAGAGCGCGGCGTTCGCCTCGCTGGCGCGGGAGGTGGTCTCCACCGGCGCCTGTTTGGCCAGCAACCAAGCGATGACCTCTGAATGGCCGCCCATGGAGGCCATGTACAAGGGTGTGGAGCCACCTCAGTTCTGAACATCCCAAAATGCCCATGCCATTCCGCTCCAAATCTTCAATTGAAGAAACTGGTGAAGAAAAAGGGTCTTGGCAGATCCTTTGAATGTTCTCAGACTCTCCCTCTTTTGGGTGAGAACATGTGAGAACAAACCAAAACACACCATAACAAATCATAAGGGATCACTCCAGCGGACCCATCATCTCCTTCCGCACATCCGCGCGCCCGGCCAGCAACCATGCCACGGCCTCGGTGTGTCCTCCCTGCGCCGCCACGTGCAAGGCCGTGCCGCCACTGCGGGTGGCCTCGTTGGCATTGGCCCGGGCCACCAGGAGCCGGGCCACCGACTCGGCGTGGCCGTGCAAGGCGGCATAGTGCAAGGCGGTGGCGCCGTTGCCGGCGGCTGCAGTGACCGAGGCACCCTGCGCCAGCAAACGAACCATCACATCAATGTGACCACTCTGTGCTGCAAGGAAGAGAGGCGTGATGTCGCCGTCCATCACGGCATCCACTTCTGCACTGCCAGCCAGTAGCCAGGCCACGGCTTCAGTATGGCCATTCTGTGCTGCCACATGAAGTGCAGTACCTCCGCCCTCCGATGCCAAGTTGACTGCTGCTCCACCGGCCAGCAACCGCGCAACCGCATCAGCATGCTGCCCTTGCGCCGCGATATAGAGCGCCGTGGTGCCACCGGGCGCCAGCTGATTCACTTCTGCTCCGGCCGCCAGCAAGCGAGCAATGGCCTCTGCATGCCCATGGTGTGCAGCCATATGCAACGGCGCCACACCACCCAAGGTGGTGCGGTTCACAGAAGCTCCGGCGGCCAGGAGCCGCTGAATGCCTGCCACATGGCCCGCGGCCGCCGCCGAGTGGAGCGAGCCACGGACCCCCTCGGGGCGGATCCTCAGACGGTCATGGTCCAAGGACCCCGAAACGGCAACGTTCTGGTCAGCATCGGCTATACAGACTCTCTGTGGAAAAGCAATGAAAGACTATAAGTTAGACTATAAGAATAACAAAGGATCAAAAAAAGACCATCCAAAAAGGATCAAAAAGGCAGGTACACAAACTATATATCATTACATCTCATTACAAGCGATGTATACTGAAAATAACTAAACACGTCTAGACTCCGGTGGAAGATGGACTTTCCAGAGATGGGGTCATCTTCATAGATACCCTCCTCCAACAAGGACTTGTTGCACACAGGACATGCCGCCTTCACCTGCGGCAAACGTTCTGGCGTGACGACTGGGTGTCTCGGATGAGGCGTAACAACGCAGCGGCATATTTTAGATGGCAATCATGGTAGGAAGGCGGGAAGTAGGGAGGTAGGACCTAGACACAGCCTGGGAAATGCTGGATGTACACCTCTTATCAACCAACAAGCAAGCACAGGTCCAACACTTTCTCAACCTTTTCGTCACTCACCTGGAACCATTTCCGTATGCAGTCCCAGTGAAAGCGATGCACACATCCAGTGGTTGGCCCAGCACGGGAGCGTGTTTCAGAGTCCATGATCTCTTCAAGGCAAACGGCGCAGATCAAAGGCTCATGTCCTCCATCGACCTCCTTCATCGCGTCGGTCCTGAACGTGTGTCTGAGACACCGAAGCTGGACCGCAGAGTCTTGGGCAGTCGGAAGCCTCAAAAGTCGGAGTCTTTCCATGGAAATGGTGGTCATCCCGAAAAGTCTTGGCTGGTCCACCCACTGGCCAGCCAGTCAAGCTGCATGCGGTTTCCTCCGGACAAAACCTGTCTGTCACCGAGACGAAACCTGACACCCGATCGATCGGTGATCGCGTAAAGCAAAAGACTCTATCAGACCTGCCACAATCTCCGAGTATCATGAGTTTCCGCGAGGTGTCTTCCTCCTCGATCCTCCACAGCAAAGCACCAGTCAGGCTGGTGCTAAAGAAGAATGCCCAAGGCGAATGCCCATGGCAGCTCTGCTGTTGTCCAACACTCTGACTCTGGCTTTTGTGGCCTACTGAGTGGGACAGATTATATACACACATACATACGATACACATACGCTTTTTGAGGGCTTCTTCCACAACATCTATAGATATCCAAATATATCCAAACACAACCAGCCAATCACTCAAACCACCCTGCTTCTTTTCCTTGACCAAAGTCCAATCTTGGAGCATACCCCCCCCGGCCGCTGTTCTTCCATCGCTTCTTCAAGCAAAACGAGGTCACCCACCAAAGGCCCTGTGATTCTGTGATGATCCGTGTTTTTGGTCCTTCAAGGTCACCCACCAAAGGCCTCAGAACCTCAGGTTTTGGGGGGAAACCAAAGCAACCCATGTAGACTGATGAATCAAATCCCCCCTTCTTTGACGTGTTTCAGTCATCAAACAGTCTACATCAATGTCTACCTGTAGTTCTATCCCATTACCATGCAGTAAGAGGAGACCGTTCTCAAAATTTGTGAGCTGTTTCTTTTACCAACTCTTTCTGCTCTACTAGGCAACCCAGTGCGCTACACCACCCTATGTCTACCTGTCTGCCCCCAGATTCCTTCGCCAACCCGCCTCGGGAACCTCAAAGACACTGGCGGCCACATCGGCCAAGCGTGGCTCCAGTAGCGCCACATCATGGAAGCCTCAGCAGTTCATTCAGCCGAGCGCGCGCAAGCGCAAGCGCGCGGCCGCCAAACAGATCAGACGCAGGTCAGGGTCACCTCAGAAGGTGAACCTCCCCTTCACCGAAAAAATTCACCTTGGGTTACCTCAAATCACCTCACAAAACAAGTTTCAGTTTTGGTCACATGGAGGAGGGCGGCTCTGGGAGTGACCGGAGCCACCCGAGTTCAAAGAGTTGACCGTTACGAGAGAGGCCAAGCCTCCGAAGAGGGCAATCAGAATGTGTTTCTTGCATTCCATATGGATCCATGTATAAAGAAGCTACAAATTCAAAGGGCCACGGCCTGTTTAGAGGCTTCCACATCATGTAGACTGATGATTCAAAACCCACCAAGTTATATAGGTTGTAAAACCGTTTAACGGTTGGAGGGGTGAAATCTCAGCTCAGTGCCCCAGAAATGGGTGAAATCTCCATCTCTCAGGTGATCTGGTGACATCTCACGCCAGAACTTCACTCAGCACATCTTTGTAAGAAGTGTTTCATCTCAGCCCGAAAAAACTCTGGAACCTGATCGCCATCCCTGCTTGGGACCACCATCCAGGCCAAACTTCCTACCTGAAAACATCCGAACGGGTTGGAAAGCCGTTCTGATGTCACATCGCTTACCCTTGCAGGTATATATATTTAATATATATATATATATATACAACATACCTAGTCTACTCAGGGCCCTGGGGCCTCCCAGACCCTTAGTAGTTGGGGGTATTATATAACGTATGTATACTTCAACTTACCAGGGCCTTCCTGGTGACCGAACTCGATCCCCCCGACCTGAACAGGTCGCCGTTCGCTCCGTCCGCTGGTCCGTCCGTTCCGAGGCCCGCACGGATCCTGCCGTCGTTCGGACGTGGCGGAGCCGGTGGAAGGTGTGATCCGAGGAAAACCCCCGAAGAATCACGAGCAATCAACCAACCAACCAATTATGAGAGTAATAAACATGTAATAAAATGGGCCATCTATGGAACCGTCATGGAGAGTCATCTCCAGAGTCAACCCCAAGTTTTTCGGAGTTTCCACGCAAGAACGCACAGGCCGAGGGAAAAGAACGCACTCCGGGTAGTAGATTTGGTCACTTCAGGTCACTGACAATGTCCGGGTATAGTTGATCAAGTTCAATGTTGACTTGAATGTCCCCCTATCCAGAGCCCGGGTATGACATAGCAGATAGCCTTCTGAAATAGCCGGGGATACATGAGGTACATCCAGGAGTAACTGATAACTCTTGGCACCCCAAAGTCCAAATGGCTATGTGATGTGGTTCAACATGGTTCAACAAATCACCCAAGGAAAACCATACACCCTCCCACCTCTTTGTCGTCGTTGTTGTTGCCCTATTGGGGCCAGGCGGGGCCCAAAGGTATTTTGCAAACAGTACTACTCTACAATGGTCTTTAAGGGATTTGTGCTTCAGTCATCTCAGCTTCAAAAACGTCACTCCAAGTCCTGAACCCCCAAAATCTATCACCCACTTTTGGGCCATGTGCCTCCTTGCGCGTCACCCATCCCCTCCCCTCCCCGCGCACGCGGAACGTGCCCACTCGCCGTCCTCAAGCGCATGCTGCCAGCCGATAGCCCATACTGCCGGGCTTCGCCAACACTGCTAGTTGTGAAGCTCAAGATCAATGGAGCAGTTCGCCCCCCTGACGTGCTCGAGACACTGCTCGGTTCCGGTTCTGACGCGCTCGGTTCTTTTTCTAGAACCAGTCCACAGACCAATTTTGGGGGATGCTGCTGGAGAGAACGAGAATCATTTATGGACTATAATGCCAGCTGCTTCCAAGGAGTTACCAATGGACAACGCGACAGCTGATTATAAGTCACCATTGGACGCTCATTGGAAGCGCTAGGTATTCGTAATTAAAGTTCTTTGTGACATCAAACCAAACTGTGCATTGAGTTTTTCTTGAACCCATGGCCAAGTGCAGGAAAAGCTGCTATATGTTCAAGCCTTTGACCATCTTTTACACAACAGCCTAGTCTGTTTGGCACCTCTAAGGTCTATCTTACACTTCATTGTGTATACTATATTTCGTGACACAATGAATATATCTTCCTAGTCTACTATATCATGTATATATATATATATTCATATAATATCTATCATATGCATGTATACATGTATCCTCTACTCCCTTGGACCCCCGAGACCCACGTCTTCTCCCCCGGTCCCGTGACCCTTGGTGCCGCGCGGACGTTCCGCGTCCACGGTCCCGTCCACCTTCGAGGCTGGTGAGGTGCAGCGACGCGTGGACCATGGCCGAAGGCTCAACGAAGCTGATGAGCCCAGCCTCAGGCGAGACCCCTTGGCGAGACCCCTGGGCGGGAGGGGGGTTGTCCATCCAACCGATATGAAGAATTACTTGGATGGACCTCTCCCTCAATTGGATGAAGAATCATCCAAGGATGATGAACACTTGTTCTTCATCCAAGGATTGTTCATAGATTTCTTGGATGAAGAATCCAAAAAGAGATGAACAACACTGAATGGAATGGATCATATCAAGGACTTACTACTTCAAAGCAATATCTTCTCGTTACTCTTGACGATATGATGGTATAACCACGGTATACCACCATAATACCACCCATCATCTTAAGATGTGTTTCAATCCATGTTCGGGTGGGTGATATAATCAAGGATCTACCGGGTACCTGGACCATCCTGTCTAAGTGTCCTGGCTGGAGATACCCATAGACGTACGGACGTTTCACGTTTGCCACGTTCAGACATTTCAGAGTAGATGGCACAAAACACAATATAGGCTGTGGTCTATACTAACCACCAAACTTGGGGATCGTGCCATCTACTCTGAAACCACGGCCCAAGGATCGTGTATGCTTGTCGTTCGGACCGATGACATTGAGTGAGGCACCGTTGCTCAAGTGTCTGGGATTCCAAACAAGATTCCAAATCCACATGATGCAAATATCAACATGTTCTTGCATGCTCTTGCATGAATGTGCACATCGCATGGATCTGATTCCTCACCTTCGTGCCACTCGCTCACCCGAAGACCCTGGTGTTCAGACCCTCCTCCGCCTCCCTCCGCCTTCGTCCGCTCCGTGGAGGCTGGGCTGTCCAGCTCGAAGGTGATAGGTGTCTGGCCCAGAGCCCCAACAGACTTGCAAATCGTTCCCAGCCTGGTGAAGCTGAGGCCAACGAGCAGTGGAGGTGTCGACCCACGACTGGGAGGATGTTTCAGAGGTGTCATTCAGACAGACGAGGTCTCCGAGACCGGGAATTGGGAATTCGAGACATGTCGGTTTGAACAAATTGTGCAAAAAGAAGGCCTACACTCCAAACTCATGGACCCTGGGAATGGGAAGAAGAACAAGGCTGTTGTCCTCTACAAACCAGTTTTTGTTCAGGGTCTATGTTAGTTTTCCGCGGGGTATAGGAATTGCATCTGGCATCCCCCATCAGTGGGCTTTCAGGGGAATTGATCCCTGCTGGGCCATGGCAGCCATTCTAACGCTTGCGTCCTGGTCCCAAATCGACTGGCTGTGGGTCTAAACCCACTGATCTCCCAGGTCGACCCAAGGTTTCCTGGTTTTGACCCATCCCTCCTGTGAACACCTTTTTTTTTGCTCCACCGATGTCGTTGTTCTGTATGTTTTTGCTCCACTGACCGATGTAGCCACCAACTGTGCATCTTCGTGCCCTTCTCACCGCCTCTGTAGCCATCAACTCTTCCTTGGTCTGGGCCAGGTTGTGCCTTGTCCATGCGCCCTCACCTCGACAAGTGGCCGGATCCGGTCGATGGTCAAAGCCCAGTCGAACGACGTTCCCGAGGTCTGTGGCTTGGCTGTGAGGCGGTGGGTCAAAATCTGGAAGCTCCCTGGTTGATCCCTGACCATGGACAGATTCCTCATGATTCCTCTATAGGGGGTGTCAAAGCCTCGGCGACTGTTGGTACTAGTGGCGGAACATGAGGGTGCGATCTGACCCCAGTTTTGTTTGGGGAACAACCAGTTCAATTGATTCATTGGATGCAACAATTTGTCACTACTCTCCAACCAGAGCTGTCCATAGCACAACACAGTCCTTGACGGGTCCGAAAACGACAACCTGACCGAGCGGGGTGCTGTTCCTCCTCCTCCTCCTCCTCACAATCCTGCGATACTATACCTGGATCTTCCAACTATGCAAAATGTCTGCCTTTTGGCTAGTTTTAATGAAAAGGCATAACTTTTGTATAGTTGCAAGTTCTATAGGTATCCACAATTCCCAAGGTTTGTTGGATCCCTCGATGAATTGTTTCCCTAAGGGTCCAGGACCATCCTGAATCCTAAGATAAGGATGTCTTTGATCCCAAAGACCATTCTCTGGAAGTAGTTTCACCTCCAAGACCATCCTCAAGAGGTACCTGGACCCTATGGGTGTCATCTTGTTGTGTCCTGATTTTTTTTTCATCATTGGTTCCCTCACAAAACGAAGCATCCAGTCCTTTCACTCTCTTCCGAAGACCGACCTGCTGCGTTTCAGAAAAAGTGGTGCCTGGCAAGAAGGGCGGCCGCAGAGCTGCACCCAAAGCCACAGGGATGCTGAAGATCAAGCCATCCTCGGAGATGCGCTTGTTTGGTGTCTTGACAGATCCATTTAAGAGTGAGACCCCTATCCCAACCCGTCTGTTTGGTCGTCAATTTGTTGCTTCCTCTCGGTAGCTCTGACTGGGTGGCGGTGGAACAACCGCGGCCCAGGGATCAGCCGGAACAAAGCAAAGGGCATGCTAGATGCTATACATGGACCAACCCCATGTAAAAGTTCTCGACAAACAGCCGCAAAGGGATCCTGCCCCGAATCGAAACCATTGTGCCCCAGGGCCCTGATGGACTTTCTCTTTATGTAAGGAAAAGTTATCGAGTGACAGTAGACCGTATAGGCAAAATGACTGGCAACATGTTATACGGCGGGACAAACCAATAAAATTCATTAAAACCAACATCATCTAAAACGGCAATGGGCCAACAGTCTGTAGCCTCCAGACTATAACCTGCGGCACCCTGGGCCTGAATCGTGTTTAACCCCTACTGACATCTCTGAAAACAACCCATGTAAACATCTACAGACCAACTCCTAAAGTGCGCTAAATGGCCACTCTGCTCAAAATCAATTCTCCCCTCCCTTCTTCTTCCGCCTCTCACGTCCATCGCCTGGCCTCTCCCCTTGCCCTCGGCCTGAGTTTCCCGGACTGCCCCAGCCAAGCCTTCAGTTAAGCGGGTCACCTGACTGGCGCAGTCTACGAGGCGATCTTTCAAAACGGCCCCGTCCTGGACACGTTTGACGGCACCCACAGATAGCATCACCGTTTGCGCTACTAGTATGACATAGCGGTTGAGCATGTTGTCTTCTTTGTTAAGTGTTGATTTTTAAGATTTAAATTCATTTAAATGTGCGGTGGTTGATTTCAGTTCGGGGATCTTTCAGGAGCCCTTTTTGTGTCACAATGTGCCACACAGCATGTCCTTCGGATTCGTTTCTTCGATGAATTTACATGAATTTACAGTTCTTGCGTGCAGCCAGACCACCACTCGTGTTCCCTTGCTCGCATGTTTCAAGCATGCTTGCAAGACCGCACGCCAAACAGCGCGTTCATGCGGTTTAGGAAAAGGTGCAGGTGAATGGCTTAGGAAAACCCAGCGTTCTGGGTGTCCACCCTGGGTTCCCATCCTGGGTTCCCATTCATCACTTCATAGGCGGTCTGTATCTGCATCCAATGAAGACTTCATGGCGCCATGGAAGATCCAAAGTCGGATACAAAAGCAGAATCTGGATTAAACACATTCATATGAAGAGGTCTTGCAATCAAAATGGCAGGCTTATGAATGAAGATTCCACATAATTACGCCGAGCCTGAAGACCTCTGAAGACCTGGAGATGTCTGCTCCAAATGCTCAGCTTCTCCGAGGCCGATGATCGGATTTCGGTCTTGGATGTCCATCCGGGGGTAGGTGATTCAAAGACCAGGATTTCCGGGATGTTTCACGAATACATATGAGTACTAATACATGTTGATCGTTTGAGTGCCTTAAGTTGCTTTAGTGCTATTTGTGCACATCGCCGAATGGCCTTGACAAGTATAGACATGTATAGGATGCACAACCTCGTCCGCTATACAAAAGAGTTCCACTATGAGACCACGAGGTGTCTCAACCGAATTAGAATAGCTTCCGTGTGCTTCTGTTGATCCTTCTGTCAAGTGGCAGGATGTCCCATGTGTTCAAAGCCCACTTGCCCGGAGACGATGCGATTCTCCTGGCCGCGCTCTCAGAGAACTGGCCGGATTCTCCGCCACACTCGTGGAACCACGTCATTGGTGGAACCCAGTGCCATCCAGTGTCTCAGGTCAATTTGTCCATGTTTTATCAAGTTTTTCCCCACCTGTCAGGTGAGGGTTGTTAGATTTTATGTCAGCCACAAGTGGGGATCACTCGAAGTAAAGTAACTTGTTTGTTCGAAACCACAAAGATTTTGAATGCTTCTGACATGTGCAGCCCCATCTCAGTTCTTTTTTGGTGTGGCAAACAAATGTTTGTCTAGGGCCTACAGCTCGGCGGCGGGATATCGACGTCTTTGTTCATCCGCAATGCGAAGAGTAAAGAACTCCCTGGACAGGTCTGGTCAAACCCATGTCGGAAACGCCTGGTCTTAGGATGTATTGGGACCGTCCAAATCTTTCAAACAAAAAATGTCTCCTGACTGACTGGAGAAAAGCATTGTCCACTAGAATGACCGTGTTGGGTTCTTGTCTTGTACTTCAAAAGCATTATGGTCGATCTGTATGATCCCCCACTTGGAAGCTCCACGGATCCTGCGCTGGATGTGTTTCAATTCCTATTAAACCCAGCCCCTTCCTCCCAATTCTGAATTATGGGCCGTGGGTCAAGACCCCTTTCGCCTGTTTCACCCTGGTAGGTCGACCACTACCCTGGTAGGTCTGTTCTGTTAGATCTGGGAAAAGCCATCCGGTCCCTCCGGTCCCCCCCGTTTTGGACCAGGTCTCTCCCGTCCTCCTCGCTGCCGCCCGTGACATTCTCCAACACGATGAGGTCGCCTGGCCCGAACACGGTCGATGAGTCGGACGACGGGTCGTCAGGAACGGTTTCAACGAGTTGAAACGCCCCAAGAATCCCATCGGACTGGAACATTTACCTCAATTGAACTCCCCCAAAAAACAACTCCTTTGTCATGTCACCCTAGTATAAACTTACCACTCCAATGTGGTAAACAATTAATTATTTATAATTAATTATTCCATGGAACCATGGATGGTATGGGTTGCTTTGGCTGAAAAACAGTAGGCCAAGGATTGCAGTTCAGAATGAAGAGCTGGGGCGTGGTGGAACCCACCCAAGCAGCTACTTTGAAAAGCACCGCGGTGCAGCTATGGATGCGTTGTTTGGGTGCAGTTTAGCATGCTTGGTGACGAATGCATCGCAAGTCACTCGAACCCCCCTCCGTCACTGCCCATCTCGATCGGTCTTCCAAAAACCGTCGGACGCCCGGCGCAGAACAGGACGCTCGGTGAACGGTCGAGGGGATCCCCACAGAGAAGAAAAGCACACTGACTGACCGGAATCGACTGCAAAGAATTGGTGCCAACCCTATTGGATGATGATGATGATGATGATGAGGAGGAGGAGGAGAGGGAACTCTGCCAGGTTGACGAACAACCGGACACAGTGAATAGAAACCAAACTCTGGAAAGCTTATTGCAAGCACTGTTCTAAGGATTTATAAGGTATAGTATGGTATAGTAAGAAAGCACGCATACATTTGAGGAAACAACACAACCATTACATGTCTCATTCTTCTGCAGAGTCAGCATTTCCTGCACACAAAACTGAGCCCATCCGCAAGAAAATGCCTTAAAATTGGGCTCTTTGAGCCAATCGATCACCCAAAAGTGCGTGTAAAGCGGCTGATCCTGTCGATGCAGCACATTTCTGTCCCTCTCAGACTTCCTAATCGAAACCCTGCCAAATGCCGGGCCCGCCATCTCTTCTTGTGGGGATCTTTAGCCAGTCGATCCAGGCCGGGGATCTTTAGACCTGTGAGACTCATAGACCTGTGAGACTCTTGATGGCCGATAGAAGGACCAAGCCTTCAATCCATTTCTCTCCGATCATGGAAGGCAAAAAGCCTGCTCCACGTTCTTTCAGGGACTTCTTGTACTTCACTGTGAAGCTCAAGCGTCCATAGCAGTAGAGGAGCAAGGGCAAGAGAGTCACGGGTCCAAAGACACTGCTCGCCAGAAGAGTGTTCACCAGAAAGCAGGGCAAAGATTCCTTGGAATGTTTGGATCGGGGAGAAACAGACGAAATCACTCAAGAACTCACAAGAGATCCTACCAAAACAACAGCTTCAGAGTCGTTCAGAGTGTCCCCACCTGGCTTCTATCTTTGTTGTTTGAACTGTGTTGTTTGGATATATGGTTCTTTTTTCAGAGTTGTTCTTTTTTAATCAGTCCACCTTGTTCTATCCTGTTCAACAGGCCAGGTGAGTTCCTCTCCATCGACGCATCGCAGGACGGAACAAGGCTCGTCCATGTTGTAGGCCGCTCGCTGCGTCCGATTGAAGCGTCCCACGGCCCCGGTGGTGGCCATGAGCACATAAGGCGCACTCTTCAGAGATCCTGGCGCGTTCGTAGTCATGCCCTTGTTAGGTTCGTAGCTTCTTGTTCCTAGTAGTGCCAGGAGCTACCTTCATAGCTAGAGAAGCTACTAGTAGTAATTATAGAATATAATGCCCTTGTTTGTTTGGGCAACCAGGTAGTTGTGATGGACTGTTAGTCCCTAGCTGGAACACACCAAAATCAAGTCTACACTCCATTCCTTGGAGTGGAATACCCGCTATAGTACATCAATTAGGTAAGACCACTTCCATGGTAGTCAGCCAGAGTGAGAGTGTAGGTTGAGATGCCTCTAATCTAAATCCCTTCGCCTTTTTGAGGAGTCCACATCTCGAGATTGGGCGGTAGAATATTGACCAAAGCCCAATGGATCCAGTTACCACCTAAGCCCAGTGGATCCTGGTACTGCAGTTACGTTTCCGGGACTCAACCCATAGACCACACGAAACCCTGCTTCCGTATACTTGGATTTGCTCAAGGAACCAGGACTCATATTCCCCAGGACCTACAAGTGCACTTGATCGCCGATGGATTGCATTTTGTAACCTTCACTTCGTAGAGTTATGTTTTTGTTTTGTTTTTCCAAATGCATCCAGAGTCCAGTCATGTGAACAGTGTATTCCCTCCAGGGGCATACGAAGCGTGTGGGTCCAGGCAATTTCCTTATTTCCAGCGGCCAAATGTCAGCAGTCGATGTGGCGGTTTGATCATTTTGGCGTAATTACGGACCAATGGCTGGTCTCCAGAAGATTGTAGGCAACTATGGCCTACATTGGGTGCTTTCAGGGGTGAATGTCGTTGGCGTTAAAACATCATGGAGCATTTGAGTATATTTGGGATCGATTCTTGCTTGTTTGCACCTTCAACTTTTCGCGTCCTGTCACCCCATCCGGTCGGGTAAACCAACAGAAGACACCATGTCGACATGTCGGGACATCCATGGCGCATGCTGTCTGCATTCTTCCAGGCTTTTTGACGGCCATCAGCCATCCTGAAGTCTGTCCATTCGGTATGTTTGATTGATCCAACTGTTTACAAGCTGCCCAGGCTGCTGCAAACCGCAACCAAAACCCCAACCAAACTCGCACCCAACCCCCGTACAAAATCGGCTGGTTGGATTGGAGGATTGGGGCAGGTCGAATCGTCCTGAAGCATCCATGATTTTGTAGACATGCTGGTCCGGGCGATCCAGTCTCGCTGCCGCGCGTGCGGAGTTGGCCAAAAGAGCCACAGCAGCACGGGCCAGACCGATGAGCCAGGCAGCTAGGAAGACATAGCCCAGCTGGTACTGGCGGAGGAAGTGGAACTTGACCTGCAGGGGACATGCGAGCATGGAACTGGTCATGACAGAAATCATTCCTTTAGCACCAGCCTACCAGCGGGTCATCGGAGGTTCGGAGCAGGTTTCCTTTTTCTTGATTTTTTCCCAAACAAGGCCAACACTGCCTGCATGATGGTCTCGCCGCCCACATACTTGGCAGTCACATAGGTGGCAATAGCCAATGAAAGACCAAGGATTGGTACAAAAACAAACAAAAGCTTCAGGTACTTCTTGAAGGCCTGCTCTTCCTTGGTGCGGATTTGCCCTAGGCCAGCTGTGAGAGCTAGACAAGCCGGACCAGCTCTACAAAACCTGAATATAATACATTGGTTTCAGACTAGATGTGGTTGCCATTAGTGTCCCCACCACCCACGGCTGTTCATCGTCGAACAACCATGATCCATCACATCCAAGCGTCAGTTTCAGTCTTCTCTGAGACCACTCGTAATCCCATGGAGTCTCTGCCCGCGAACTCATCTTCCTCCAAAAGGGCGGTCGACATCTCTCGTTGCTTTGCGAGTTGGATGCGTTCTCACCAGTCGGATGCGCGTCTTCTCTTCTGCAAGGTCGGCGCGTCTTCTCTCCCCGAAGAGCACAACGCAAGAGCCCAAAGGCTGAGGTGCGGAACCAAGAATCCCTCTGGTCCAGGATCCCTCTTAGCATCTCTTAGCCCTCTTGCTCCAGGTTTTGTTCACTGGCCTATCCCATTGGCCTATCTTTATTCCAGGCCTAAGTGACCTCAAACCTGGGGATCGAAAGGTCAAGTTGAAGAACCAGGTTTCGACAGTTTAGAGGATTTCGTGATTTTTATGGCCAGTCTTGAATGCGTGAATTCGCCAAAGAGCAACAATGTGCTGATTTTTTTGCTTTGTGACAGGTGTGGGAGGCAAGGAGACGTTGAAGGAAGTGGCCCAATGTTAACCATCCATAGCCAGAAAATGGCCCTGGGGTGTACCCTCCCAACCAAGTCAGTAAAGTAGCGCCTGTCTGCAAGCCAGGATCGGCGTCAAAGCGCAGCACCTGCAAATCCGCATCTCATCAACGTTTTCCTTGTTTTGCACTCCCTGAAATAGTCCATCACCTCCATGGAGTTCACCACCCGTTTGTACCAGAAAATGGTCCCCCAAGGAACCATGTTCGATGATTTGAGTGTTTTCAGCTGAACCAGTCACTGGGAGGCCACCTCCGTGGTGCCGCCCAATGGCGGAGCTCCGCCACCCATGGGGTTCGGGTTCCCCGTTTTGATCGAGGAAATCCGATGTGCTTCCTGGGCACCGAACCCCCCATCCAGCCGCAAGGCGTGGACGGTCGATGTTCAATGTACGCCGTGCTTCAGTTGAGGACTGGATCGACTGTCAAAACACAAACACTGTATGTAGATGGATCATAAATTATGATTCATAAAGCGTTTGGTGCTTACCCCGAGGAAAGACCTGTAGTTCATGTGCAGCGCCTTCTTGAGATGCAAAGAAGCAACCCAGATTCCGGATTCCGGAATCCAGGCTTGAATAAACTATATTAATTATCCCGGCAAGAGACCCCAAACAGTGTGGAGTGTATATGAGAGACACTTCTGTCACCGCTACCCAGCTGTATTGCAGTCAAATGAGTGTGAGGGTGAGAGTGAGAGGGAGTGTGTGAGTGAGAGTGGAGAGTGAGTGAAAGTGTGTGTTTTCTTTGCCAAGAAACCAAGCTATGCCAAAAGTATCTGGATGGAACCACGCCAGGTGCGTCGGATAGAAGAATAGCTGGGTGTAACCGCGCCAGATCGCTCTAGAAACAAGAGTCTAAAGAAGAGCACACACATGAGAACAAACTAGAGTTTCAGAGGTCTACAGAAGTGTAAAAACACACATCTGAGAGCACAGTCACCAGACCACGCAGCACGTGAGAAAGTGAGCGAGTGAATATGAGCGTGAGTGAGAATGAGCGTGAGCGTTGTGAGTGCGCGTGAGAGCGAGAGAGTCACAGTGAGAGTGGATGTAGTCAGCGTAAGAAGAGACAGAGGGCACAAATCCGTGAGCGAGTGAGGATGAGTGAGAGTGTGACAATGAATGCAAGCTTGAGTCAAAAAGGAAGAATGCTTGTGAATGAGAGTGAGTATGGGCGTTATGAGTGCGAATGAAAAAGCAGAAGACCAAGGAGAGCACACATCTGAGAACACAATCAGGTAGTGAATTAGTGAGTGAGTGAGTTGCCCACAGTGACCAGAGCTCGCCTGGGTGGCGAACTCTACATGTCGAGGTTCACAAAGTGCTGTACCTGCCACGCACTCTGCACATCGAGGTTCACAAAGTGCTGTGCCTGCCACGAACTCTGCACATCGAGGTTCACAAAGTGCTGTACCTGCCACGAACTCTGCACATCGAGGTTCACAAAGTGCTGTACCTGCCACGAACGGTTCACAAAGTGCTGTGGCTGCCACGAACTCTGCACATCGAGGTTCACAAAGTGCTGTACCTACCACGAACTCTACACATCGAGGTTCACAAAGCGCCGTACCTGCCACGAACTCTGCGCATCGAGGTTCACAAAGTGAGGTGCCTGTCAGGAACTCTGCGCATCGAGGTTCGCAAAGTGCTGTACCTGCCACGAACTCTGCACATCGAGGTGCACAAAGTGCCGTACCTGCCACGAACTCTGCGCATCGAGGTTCACAGAGTGCTGTGCCTGTCAGGAAGTCTGCGCATCGAGGTTCACAAACCCTGAGCATCGAATCTTGATTCTGATCAATAAACTTCTGTTTTTTTTTAAAGAGCTGAGCATGCCTGACCCCTGCGATGTTCAGGTCCCATGCAAAAATCCAAAATCCTTGAAAAAGGATGTGGAATTTGCTGCATGCTTCCTCCCTCATCAGATGTTTTCCAAGCTTGCCTCCAGCTATGAGGATGTGTTGCAAAGCATTTTCCCAATTGAAAAATTGGAAGACTTCTGGAACCAAGCCCTTGAAAAAGGAGATGACCGGTTGAAAAACCACCCCATGCAGCAAAGAGGATGGAAGAAGAAAACCATCCCTTTGTTTATGCATGGGGATGGGGTTGAATATCAAAACAGAGACAGCCTCATGGTCTACAGCTGGGGCAGCTTATTGCAGCACTCACACTTCTATATAGCAGGCTTCCCCAAAAGCTGCACTTTGGATGGAACCTGGGAGACCACCCAACTCATGACCCAGAGGGGAAGCCCTTGAAAAAGGATTCTCCATTTTTCCTTGAAAAAATGGACTCTGTGGAGTCTTGTGGGTGGTCCAAGGAGACCATGAATTTTTCAGTAATTCACTAAAGTTGCCCCATTGGGCTTCCAAAAGCCCTTGCTGGGAATGCTCAGCCAAGAAAGATGCAAAACCAGCCAATATGTGCTACAAGACCCTTGAAAAAGGGAAGCAAGCCTGGAAGAGAATCTCCAATGAGGAGGCTTTGGCAAATCCTAAGAGCGCCCATAATCTATTTTCAGGAGTGATTCCAGGCTTGAGCACTAAAATGGTTCGAGGAGACTGCTTGCATATCCTCTTTACCAAGGGGGTGCTTGGGCACCTTCTTGGTAGTTGCATCCATTCTTTTTTGTATTATGATGGAGTTGGAAAAACCCAGAAGGTGTCTCCAGAAAAAAGATTGGGTTCAATCTTTGAAGCCGTGCAGAAAGAATATGTTGCACAGGAGACACCTACCAGGGTCACCAACCTGCGCTTGAGCATGCTGTGCAATCCAAAGGAGCCCCACAAAAGCATGGCTCAATTGGATCTCAAGGCCTCAGAGACCAAATGGTTTCTGCAGGCTTTTGCACCTGTCCTCCAGAATCTTGTGTCTCTTGAAAAAGAGCATGAAGCAACTATGTTGCAAGCAGTGGAAGACATGGCAAAGCTCACTGACCTGTTTGATCAAGGAGATGTCTTCTTGACTAATGGGGGGTGGCTCAAAGCCATGAAGCTGGGAGAGAGCTTCTTGAAAAAGTATAGCTCTCTCTCTGCTTGGGCCCTTGAAAAAGGGAGATCCGTCTTCCACATTGTGATGAAACATCACACTGGACTTTCTCCTCAGAAGACTTTGTTGGGAAGATGAGCATTCTCACGTCTTCTGTAAGTCCAGGGGTGTCTTCAACAAGGGTGAGTGCAAAGGTTGCTCCCAAATATAGAATTTTGCTCCATTTCCTTCTGACCAGGGAAGGAATGGAGCAAGCAGGGAGAAACATTGAACCTTGAAAAAGGACAACTCCCCTTGCAAGCTCCTCGAAAAAGGAATTGCATGCCTAGACCTTGAAAAAGGTCAGTGGACTGGCAAAAGGCCTGTCCAGACTAGCTTGTCTGAAAGGAAAAAGGCGCCTGCTAGCTTTCAGGGTGTATTGATTTTATTGATTTCCCTTTTGATTTTGCATATTGATTTTGATGGTGGGAAAAGGCTTCCAAAAATATTGATATGGAAATCAAAAAAACAAATTCAAAAATATTGATTTTTTTGTAAATCAATCAGCATTAAAGTTTACTGATTAGGATCAAGATTCGATGCTCAGGGAAGTGCTGTACCTGCCACGAAATCTGCACATCGAGGTTCACCAAGTGCTGCACCTGCCACGAAATCTGCACATCGAGGATCACCAAGTGCTGCGCCTGCCACGAAATCTGCACTTCGAGGTTCACCATGTGCGAAAATGCGCGCGGCACCACAACGAGAGCGCAGTCGCTAGAAGCACCCGCAGCGGGCCCCCAGATTCTGCGAGCCTGCGCAGTCGAAATGCACTTCGATGCTTTCGATGGGCATGAATGTACTGCAAATAGCAATGAATTAGCCGTTCACGCCGGCGCGCTTCAGCGATCTAAGCACGAGCTGCTTTTCTACTACCCTAAGAACCCCTCAGTGTGCCCACACTGTTTGGGGAATAAGTATAAAATAGTATAAATGATTATAAATTATGTGTGTTTTCATCTCTGCAAAACCGCCCCATGACGCGAACTCTTGGACACTTCAAGTCGATTCAAGTCGATCATTGGAAGCCGCGCCACCCGAGCCGTCCGTTCGCCCATGCCAACCAACGAAGCCAAGCGTTCGTCACTCCCAAGCCGATCGCGGGTGACCAGGGGTTTCCGGGGGGGCGATCGCGCTGGCACATCGCCGGTGTTCCATGGCGCTCCTGAGGGAGGGGGCGTTGTCGATGAAACACCTTGACAGGGGGTCCTGGGGGGGTCCTGGTTGGGGTTCAAACCATCAACTGGAATCCAAACGTACCGCAGATTCAGCATTTTCTGAGATCCTTGGAGGTCATACGCTGGGGTCCCGGGCAATATGGTCAGACTGCACAGAGAGATCAACGACCTGCCGAGAGGGCCGGCGAAAGGTTGCTCTCCAAAAAGAAGCTCGGCTGAGTGATGCAGGGTTTTGTTTCTTTTTCTTCCAAGTCGAAAGAACCTTCCGGGCCAGTTGCCTTTGTTTTGTTTTTTCCAAGTCGTCCAGGACCTCAATTTACAGGCCAGGCCAGCCTGCAAGTCTTAGTTGAACACTGCATACTCTATATACCGATAATCTTGGAACAAGGAAACAACACGACCAAAATCACATCCAGTGCCACCATGTCGAGTTTCTGGATTGCTTTGGTCGCCTTCGAGCTGCTACAGTTCTCCAAGCGCTCGTCACAGCTGTGGTTCATCCAGTTGTCCTCAGGCCGCGGCTCTCGGCTTTTGCTCGAGCTACCCCGAGCGTGTCCACTCGACGACCCAAATGGCACCCCAGCGCGGAATTGGACAGAAAAAGCACATAAGTTACGTACAAGAACACCCCAGCACCACCTTCAGGTGGTTTATAGACCCCCCGTGACCATGGATTCTCCATCCAATAACATCCAATAATCAAAAACCACCCTGTTCATTTGTTGGGTGGTGCTGGCCTGTAGAAGTGAGATCTTCTGAGAAGGTTTCATGTCTTTCAGTCTTTCAAGTCTGCATAAAATTGCATAAATCCTGATTTGAAATCAGCTAAGTACAATGTGGCTAGTGGTGAATGTTTCTCACACCAGCATTGAACAAAAGATGATGTCGTTCCAGGTTCCAACGACGCAAATTCCTCGGAAGGTCAGGATTTCATATCGTGAACAGGCCCCGCTCAGATCTGTTTTGCATCGGCCGCTTGAGGGTGATTCCCCCAATAATTGAGAGGCCGTTGATTCCTCGAGATTTAGTACTGTTGTTTGCAACTAAATTATCATCAACACCTCCCCACAAAAAAGGAGAACTGTGTGGTTGTTCATCACTTCATGTTTGGGTCCCTAAATGTTGGATCATCCGTAGAGCCCGGATGAATCTGTTTGTCAATATCTCGGTTGCTTCGTGTGCAATCCATTGTGTGGAACTGGCAAACATGACACCATGGCACAGTTCATTCCAGAGTACCACAGCTAGTACATCTTTGGGCCAATTGTGTACGAGTGTACGGGAAGGTGTTTCAAAGCTTGTCTTATCATTGTGCTATGGATTTTTTGTGCCTGGTGCCTGGTGCAAACATCGGTTTCCATCCTTGACTTTATGGGGAGATAAACCTGAGATGAAACGTGTACGGCAGGACCTTCAAATGGAGACAGTGACCCTTTACGAGCCTAAGTGACCTCATTCTGGGATCTCAAAGGTCACTTTGAAGGTCCTGGTGGAGGGCTTTCCAATGTAGGGTTATATATCATTAGTTTCTTGCGTATCGTTTGGTCGGTGGAGGCAGACCGGACACGTGTTCTGACTTGAAGACGGTGGGGTGGGTGATACGTACGAAATGACCACGGCCAAGGGTTGAAGACTTCGAGGGAGACCGCAGTTTGGGGGGTTGGGGAAAGAGCTTTGAACACTCCAGCCCAACGATCCGCTCAAAGGCTTGGAGAATGTTGTTGATGTTGTTGGGAATGTCACGGGACATGTCCCGTGCAAGTTGGAGACGTCCAAGATATTCCATGAGGTCCAAGTCACACTCCCAAGCATGAATAGAATGTTCCATGGATGGTATCATGGCATGATAGGGCATCCATTCATTCAGGGGTCTATGCAATCTTGAGCCACTCTCATATTCATCTGAAACTTTGGTCTCATATGGCTATTTAGTTGTGAGCCACTGGAATCCCATGTCTGAAACCCACCCTCACAAGCAAATCGTCATGATGTTTAGACGTTTAATATGTCCTTACCTACTTGCAAATACTTGCACTATCTTGCACTCATCGACTTGTGACAATCCAAACGCAGTGCCATTTGGACCAGTTTGGTCTCCAACTTCAGTTGAGGATCAACATGTAAATCGATGTCATCCTTGCCCGCACCACCTGGAAAAGCAACGGCGAGAAACCCGCTAGAGTGTTCTGACCACCTGGTTGTAAAGAAATCGTCTTCCTCCGCTTCCATGATTGTAGCTATAGGACAGAGGGTAGAAGTTTGTAGAAGGGTCCATGTACGATAAGGAATGTGGATGCCACCTTTGTGGGACACCTTCAGCACGGTTTCCCATTCTTCAGCCCTTTCCTGGCTCTTGTCTGCTTCTATACAAACTCTCTCTCTCTCTCTGCGTCGCAATACCGAGGTAAAGGGACCATAATAGCCCCTAGTAGCGTCCTTTGCTCCTAGTTGTAAGGCCAGGAGCCCCTAGTAGCGTCCTTGCTCCTAGTAGCGATGCCAGGAGCCCCTAGTAGCGTCCTTGCTCCTAGTAGCGATGCCAGGAGCCCCAGCAGCGTCCTTGCCCCTAGTAGCGATGCCAGGAGCCCCAGCAGCGTCCTTGCCCCTAGTAGCGATGCCAGGAGCCCCTAGCAGCGTCCTTGCTCCCAGTAGCGATGCCCTTTAGTGATCTAAACCCCACCGATTGAAACATAGTTTTAGTTCCAGTGACATCTGTTGCTGGAAAGACACCCTGTGGCCAAAGCAACCTCGAAGCTGTAAATGGGATTCTGGAACCTTACATGGAACATTAATATATTTATAAGACATGCCCAAACCATGGGTTGCATCTCCAAGACAGTGCCCTACGTCTATTCCCCTTCGTGCCCGGCACTGTCTTGGTGCCCCCAAACTCGGGCGACGGAACTTCCGTCACGGCCTCCATACCTGAGCCGTGGGTGCCGAGCATCCGGCCCGGAGCTGACGGAGCCAACAAGATTCAGAGAGTTAGGCCCCAAAATGGCTGTAGGTGAAGAGTGCAACACATTTTACTAAGTAAAACGATATTGAAGACTTGCTGTGTTGTTGCTTTTGCAGGTGCCCAAATGGTTATTTGGGGTGCCTTTGCTGTGGGGCCACAGCCAAACAGCGAACAAGGCTTGCCCAAGATTCGTCTGCATCACAGGCTCACTGGACACTGGAGGTTTCAACATCGCTGTGACACACTTTGCGTTCGCCTCTTCCATTTCTTCTACAAAGCCTTGATCCAAGAGCAAATGGCATGCAGATGCAAACTATTTATATGCAGCGAGTTCCCATAAAAATTGTTTGCCAGCTTCTTCAAAGTGACCTCTTTGGATTGCCTAAAGTGACCTTTTACAGGCCCGTTCGTGACCTCAAACTGGGATATCAAGTTCGGCCACTTTGAAGAAACAGGTGACTTGCATGAATATTGAATCATCTTGTCCAGTTGGGAGTGGTTCCTTTCCATTGTTTCAAGCTAGTTCCAGTTGGATGAGATTGAATATCTTCAACAATGGAACCTCTCGCCTCTCAACGCCCTTTCATCACCCCAACACATTTCAACCCTCCGGTCAATCCACCGATCGCCAACTGTTTCCGGTCCCGTGTACCAAGCGGCAAGTAGGTGTCCGGCCGACTCAACGGGGTACAGTCTGCTGGACATCCCTGGCGGGGGGCGTCTGCAGGTGTCTGATGAACATGCCTGGGCGTCTGCAGGTTAAGAGTTCGCAGCCCAGGTAAGGCAGCTCTTGTTCCTTGTGGCTGATGTTGTTGCTGAAGAACAAGAACATCTGGGCACATCTATCAATAAAATAGTCTATCATTGATGTACCAGCAACCAGGTCGGGTGGTTTAGAGATTCCCCCAACGATGTACGTATATATTTCCATCCAATAACATCCAATAACCATGCCCTTCAAGGCGAGAGGCCCTGAGGCTGGCAAACATATACAATATAATATAATCTAAGAATCTATATATACAATCTGCTTCCAAAGGGTTGTCAACGGACAACCCTACACTGCTTGTATAAGTCTCCAGTGACACCGATTGGAGGCGCTAGGTACATATATATATATATACATATCATATATTGTATTATATATATATATTATCAGTACACACATAAACAACCATCTTCGACCTTGGACACCTCTTAGAGGACTCACAGCTCCTTTCTGTCTGCTTTGGGCCGGTCATATCGGTGACACCGGTGTCTGGTGACGCTCGGTCTCTTGGAGGTCGCGTGAGGTCAAAAGGGAAGAACAGGAACCACATCTTTCTCTAGTAACTAGACGCAACTAGACCATTATAGTATAGTAATCATGGCAATCTTGCGTCAATAGTCAATCATCGAACTATATATGATTCTTTACAACAGTTTCAGGGTACATGGCGTTGAACATGGCAGCAAATGGCCTTTTCTTGTCAACTGGGTTCCAAATATGCGCTCTGAACAGTAGATGGAGACTGCCTAGGTAACGTCAATGGCTCTCACCGCCATGTATAGTACTTATAGCAATCTTTATGTATAGATGTCAATGGTCAATCATCTTACGGAATATATAGGTACTATATATGGTACTCTCTAGTTCCTTCTGTCGGAGTCGCCTCGGTTCCCGTCACTTCTCGGTCCTCCAACACCGGTCGCTCGAGGTCCTCCACCGCCCGGCTGAGCTCGGCGGAGCGTCACTGAGCGCATTCGGCCTTGAAGACCGTGGCATCACCTCCTCCGTCTCCGGTGCTGCTGCAGTCATCTGGAAGCGGTTGAAACGCCGAGGTGGATGGAGGAGGCTGCTGACGTGAGGCTGGTGTGAGGCTGGTGTGGAAAGAGCAGAAACGAAGCGATGTTGAAACATGCAAGCGGACACAGGCAAATCGTCCTGCCCACATATCGATGCACAGAACTTTCGGACAAGGACCTCCTGATTTCTTGCGGGGAAATAGATGTCTTCGGCAAGTGTCTTGCAGTCTTGCAACTGCAGCCGGTGTTTGTTGTTTTTTCCAGCATCCGAATTGTAGTCCAGTCATGGCTGTTACAGAACCCCTTTGGTCCTTTGCGAATTAATGCTCACGTCGGAGCCGGGGCCGACCAGGCACGACAAAACAAATGGAATAACATCTATAAACTCCTGGGAGTCCAAAGGCCATGCTTAAGCAGCTCGCACACCATGAGACACTCAGACACTCCTCAAACGCCTTCAGTCTGGGACTCCCAATGAATCACCGTCTTTCGGCAAAAGGCTTCGGCTCCCCCTTCTGCGGACTAGCCGTCTGGCCAACGGGTGCGGTTACCAAATGATTTTTTCGTTCAGATGTGTGTGAACCAAGTGACATTCATTCACATTCACCTATACACCTTTCAACTCAAACAATTGTATAGCACGTTTTACTATACCTAAGACCTCCGGTGGTGCAAAATTTTTGTCGAATGGTTCTTTTTCAATAACTTCTGCGGAATCAATGAGAAAAATGAAAAAACATCGAATCGAGGTTGCCAGGGTTACTCACTGATTTTGCACCACCGGTTCATGCTGGGGTATGAGGGTGACTGACGGCCTTTTCCTTGACCTGGCTGCTTCGGTTCAACTTGGGTCTTGGCGTCCTCCTCCTGCTTTGCAGCTGGGAACTCAGCCCGGGACACTCGACCGTGACTTCCACCGTGAATGCACAATGCAAGCCTTGGTGAGGTACAGAGTAAGGACCATGCTTTGCATTGTCCTTGCATCAGCCCTCCGACTAAGTCGGCAAATCGTTCCTATGATGTCCTCCCCCATTTCATTTGTGAACGCCAATGGCGATAAAAATAGGACATCAGAATCGGCGTCCCTCAAAAAGGTTTGCATGTCTACCATGAAATGCTTTAGCATGTGGACTTTGGGGACTACGGCCCAGCCGTTGGCATTCAGCGGCATGACCGCCTTGGCCAACCAAGTGTAGCCATTGAGGATCCGCGTTCCCTCATTCAATGCTGCTTCACAACATGACCGCCGCCAGAGCAACCCATGCACAAAGACCAATTGCGTAAAGCGGGAAATGCTTTGGCACACCTGCAACATGACATCCAAGAAAACACGGTGCTCAGGATTGATCTCGGCCCGCAGTGTCGGCAAGAAATCTTGCATCCATTGGTTGATCAAGATGCAATCACTAGCTTTGGTGTTGAGCCAAGCATAGTCTGACCACCTCTTCCAATTTAGCAACTGTGGTGTAAAGCTTCTCACTGCGGGGCTCTTGCTGAAGGTAGCACACCAAAGTCGGAAGTGTCCATGGAGCCTGGACAACAAAGTTGGCACATCATTTGGCTGACCTTGTTGGTAGATCTTCCACCGCACCAACACTTTGAGGATTGATCCTAGGTGGTGTCTGTACACACCGAGCTTTGTAACGTGCATCAGGTCTCTTCTTAACATGCGCTCTGGCTCACGTGCGTCGAAGGGTATTTCTTCCAGCGAGGGCTCAAAGTCCCAGGGTCTCGATCTCCATAGGGTGGAAATCCATCTAGCATTGTTGGTAACATCTTCGTAGGGAGCGCCAGCCATCCCAGCATGGCACCCTGGACAAACCCCCAACAAACGTCTATTGCCCTTCTTCCCATAGAAGCGAGTGAGGTTGCCAACCTCTGCCAGCCATTTAGCATCGCCTTTCATCCCCAAGATCGCAAAAGTGTAAACCTTGCCGCGGATGGTCAGACCTTCCCAAAACAGTTGTTTCAATTCTTTTGCAATCTTCCCCAGCATGAACTCGATGAGATCGGGGTGCTGTTTGTAGAGCGAGCACGGCAAAAGAAACAGTGGAACCCTGCTCAAAAAGGAGTGCTCCTTCATGGTTGGGAGGATGAAATCGTCTAACTTCAGCGTGTCAGAGTTGCAGCATTCATGGCTCGTTGACAGCCTCCCTTCCTGCCAGTGCTTTGCTGTATTGATACCAAAAGTTGCATCAAGTGTGACCAGGGCTGTGTTTCCTCGCCGACGCCCCCGCCCCTCGTCCCCATACAGGGCCAAGGGGATGGTAAGCTCCAAGCTGGCAGACTCGTCCGGTCTATGAAATACAGCATGTCCTGCGTGAACTGCCCTGTAGTTCTTCCAAAATGTAGCTAGGAGGCACTGGATCTCGGAATCCAACTGGAAACCACCGCAAAAACACTCAGGATGCTTCGTCATCAAAAACTTGCAGACCTCAATAGGCGACAGGTAGGGCAAGTGCAACTGTTGGCTGCCAAAGTGGTACTCCATCACTGATATGGGAATGTGCCACTTGTATCCAAGCCGGGCAATCATCCGTTGAGCACTTCTCGATGCATTTTTTTTGCTCCATTCCCCACGGTTCAATCTTGGGGTCTTGAGGCCATGTTGCTCAGCTTCGATGGCAGCATTGCGCGCCATACTGTCAACGGAAGAGGCGGGGACCTGACCAGAAGAAGGGAATGAGGAGAGACACACCCACTAGTCATGAGGCCCCCACCCCATCTGCAACTGCTTCAGCAAACGCTTCTGAGAGAGGGCCAGGGCGATAGAAGCTGCCTGGCAGATTTTGTATCATAGGTTTAGTGTAGGTAGACTTACGCCGAAGTACATAGAATGCCCGCTGTTTTCAAACAAGTGTGCAGCATTCTATCTACTCCAGGGTTGGCAGTGTAACATCCAAGCAGTGAAGAGTGGTGAAGACTCACGACAAAGCATTGCTAAGCCAAAAGTGTCAAAGCACCCTTTTTCACCCTATGCCTTGATTCCCCATGGCTTCAAAGACTCAGCGTGGAAAGACAACACGCTGTGAATCAGCTAATTTGCTAATGGCCCTTAGTTCCTTTTTGAACTACCACAAGACATTGGCGTACAGAACCAGCAAAAACGCGTTGACCGGACTCTGAACCAAAGTAGCCTTGGAACCTAGCCAAAAGATCCCAGAAGATGAAACAATTAACAACTGAGCAACATCACTTGGCGCGTTTGCGCTTGGGAGCTGGTGACGGCTTCTCCTGCTTTGCAGGAACGCGTTTATCCTTTGCCGAGGCCTTAGCCTTAGCTTCTCTACGCGTTTTTGTGGTTTTGCGTTTCGCAGCCGGCTTCTCGACCTTCGGGTACAGCGTCCTGGAGAAAGGAGATCAAACATTCATGAATCTAGCGGGCAGCCGATGGGACAAGGAGTTCACTTGACACTTTAAAGGGCCTGCCTCATCCTCCCTTCCAATGAAACTGCTTCCATCGCCCTGCAAAGAAAAAACAAGGTAAACATGGTTCTTAACGACCGTGCTGCTGAGGCTGCTGGGGTCTCCACGACCGCTGCGCTTCAGTGAATAGGCCGCGAAGCGTGCTCTCCACCCTGGGTAAAAAGAGAAAACCAATAATAGCCATTGTTGGATATCGTTGCTCCAACTTGACTACTTGCACAGCTGCTAAGGGGGAAACTTGCGGCTCAAGCCATCGACTACACCGTTGTTGAAGGTCTCCTCAATCGTTTTCTGCTTTGTCTCGAGGTTTGTGATGACCTCTTCGATCTTGTTCTTCATCCTGGAAATGCATGGTGCAGTTGCAATAAACACCTTTGGTTATTAGAGCTATTCTTGAAAGAGTGTTGAGTGTTTACCCCAAGTTGAAAAGCATGAGGTCCTAGTCTGGAGATCCGACAAATTCCCAGCCGCTTCGAACTTCTCGAGTCCAAGACGTAGCTTGGCGACACGTTTGTCAATGCAGGTCCTGAGATGGTTTGTGGGCCCCCAACTCTATGGACTACCGACTACTGAAGCTAGCCGACCACATGCAGGCCCTCTAAGCAGATCCAACTAATCAAAATGAGTAACATCATCTTTTGGGCGGACGCAGATGGCAAACCATCCGGAGGGATGTCAGGCAAGCCTGCCTGCTTCCGAATCTCTGCCAGGTTGTCTACCTCAAGGTCTGCGTCGGGTTCGACTTCATCATCGCTTGCACCTGCAAGGCCGTGAGCAGCGACAAAGACTCCGGATTTATAGGCAAAAGCTTAGTTGGTGTGGCCCCAAAAGGTGTGTCGCCCCTCGCCCCCACTCCCATCAATTTTGCCCCCACCTTTCGGGACACTGGCATCCTTTCCAGCAGCTCCATGACCCCCTTGAGGGGCAAGCTCTACGACCCCTGCCGGCGACAGATTGCCCTTGATGCCAAGTTCCCTCCAGCGCGCAGTTCTGTTCATTTGTGTAGACGTTTTCTTCCTTGCAGGAACGGTCAATTGCAGTTTTGTTAGGTGAGAGTGAAACAAACTGGTCAAATTCTTGGAGAATCCATCCAAGGAACCTATGCACACCCTTGATGGTCTTCTCTGCCCAGTAAAGGGTTTTAGCTTCGTATTTGTCGCGCCTCCACACAGTGGAGATATCACCAAAACAGCAAACTCAAAAACCAAGCTCCTCTAAATGTGTTCATGTATCACAGGTCTCACAGGCATTTGAGAGGCTTCAACATGCTTCAACAGCCTCATGTATTTGGCAGGGCATGTGCGGCAGAACTTTATGACAGCGCTCACCCGCGGCCTAAGTGGAAGTGTCCAAAAGCAAAGGGATGTGTTGAACCACAAAGCTTGCACATGTAAAAGCTAACTGCTTCATACATACATGTTCAAATCACTTGAACACAAGGAACTCAGACCATCCCCATTCATTGAGCATATCATCCTTGCTTATGTTCTCCCCCTCTACAGTGACCTCAGACTCCTCCAGTTCAGATCTTATGACCTCCACCTCCTCAATGAAAGTTGCCTTGGCTGGCGACATGTTTGGGAGGAGCAAGTGTTTGTTCAACAACACCTTGAGGGCTTTGGGGTCCGCTAAAAGATTGGAAAACAAAAGAACGCACAATTGAGTCCAAGTACTGGATCGAACCCGCACATCTGAAAGATCTGTTGGAGTTGTTGCCGTTTTTATGGATTTTGGCCCACTCTGCCAATCATCCATGATGGCCTGCGACACTTTAGCTTTCCATTGAGGGTTGGTGTGAAGATTCTCCTCATTCTTGAGTCCACTGCGGCTTTACTAAGGTGTAGCTGCCCAGCTTTGGGCTGCATCTTTTTGGCATTAGGGTCATCAACCCTGAGAATGCCACCATCCCCCAAAACCTCTTGCTCGGGTTCCTCGGTTTCCTCTGGTTCCTCCTCCTCTGACCCTTCCATTTCATCATCTGACAACTCCTCCACCCCCGCCCGTTCCGAGTCAAGCCCATCCAGATAGGCCAGACTTGACAGAGCCTCCCTGACCTCCAGGTCATCAAGTCCATCTTCCAGGTCCTTCGACTGTGAGTGGACCAAGATTGATGGTGGCTGCGCCCGGGATGTGCGGACTGGCGTTGGAATAGCGGGAAGAGTGGACTCAAAAGACTTGTCCGTGTCCAATACCTTGGAAATTTGTTGGTTGACAAAAAGAATGCATTATTGTTTAAACATGAGGCCATATCACAATTGCTGGGGTGCGTGAACTCTCACATGCTTATTTTGTTTGGAAAACATACACTACCGTATACGAAGGGAACAACCTTTTGTTGTTGGACTTGGATGCCGTGGGATCCGATGCGAGACGCGCTGGCGAAGCCCAGGGCCACTCACGGGGTTGGGCATCATGTTGAAGCGAATAGTCCAAGGTCCGCTGAGATGCTAACTGTTCGGCTGCGGCTTGTTTCTCAAGTTCCTGAGCGCTCGGAGGAGGGTCCTAGCTAAGAATGTTTGTGGTCGAAGGATAACCCTGCGGTAAATACAAAGCATGGCAGTGCCTTGGGGCCAACCGCTCTGATAGGGAAGAAGATTGGGTGTTGGAAAGAAATTACCTTTGATCAGAACATGTTTCAACTCCTCTCCATGAACTAAGTATTAACTTGTGGAAACGCTTCACGGCATAGCAGTGTAAAACCACAATCATACTAAAGGCCAAACCAGCCACGGCTAACTCAGCCTCAAGTTCTTCGTCGGTCTTTCCCTTGAGGAAACGGGACTGACCCACTATGTGTTCCAGCCCCGCCATGAGCGTGTCAGTGCTGCCTGACTGCGCCTTTTGAAGGTTTGACATCGGAACTTTGTTGAAGCCGCGCTTGGGCCAAGTAATGCACCCCCCAAGAACATACAAGACCCAAAACATTGAAAAGAGGTGTAAAGAGGTGGACGCAAAAGTGTTTCAAGTACTTTGGAAATGTCCAAAAAAACACTTCGGGGAAAAACGTCGATTCGCCGGGCAAAAACGTCGATTCGCTGGGAAAAAACGCTCGCTTTTTTTCACGTTCACGACCTTGGGTGCACCCTAGATGTCCTCAAACCATTTAAGGTCAGGAACTACACTGGCCCACTCATTTGGGATGACCAGCTTGGAAGACTTCCGAAGGTACACCAAGCAATCGGCCAACTCGGCCTCCTCCCAGGCACTCCACTCCAGCCCGGAAACAAAGCCTGGAAGCTCAGCCGGCGCAATCCGGTTGGCCTCAGCAGCTGGGAATTGGAAAGGCGATGTAAGGACTGTACATAACAACAAGACACCCCTACCATAGTGCAAAGGAGGTGCTACAGGGATAGATTCCCGCGACTCCCATTTCATCTGTGGAACCATGTTGACCACAGCTTTTGCAAACCGTGGTGTGTAGATCCTTGGAGGCATTTACCCTCAAAGAGACTAGGACAGTGTCTTGGGACAGGCCCCAATAAGCAAAACCAAATAGTTAAGCAACGTAGGAAAACTACAAGCGGTCAGCGGCACCCCCCCCGCAATCTAGTTGGGACAATTGAAAGCATTACTAGTTTCCAAAGCTAGGAACTGCGTCTTCTTGAGTCCAGGGGCTCCTTTAAACTTCTTTTCTCCTTCTTGATTCTCATAAGTTATAGTGGTTTCGTCCTCTTCCTTGACCTTGCCTGCTCTACGGAGAAGCCCCAAATCCAGCTTTCTGATCGTAGCACTATTGGAAACACATTGTGTACGTTTTGGAGTAGGTGCGCCATGATTAGCCATCCAGAAGAATGTTCGAAATACCTTAGATGCCACAACTCAACTACTGAGCAAACAAAGGAAAGACCCCATTGTGGTCAAATCGAAAAGCTAAAAAAAAGACATCGTCCTACTTGGGCCAGGGCACTGGCATTCCCAGACAATAGAGCCTTTTGACGAGCCACGCAAGTCTGGGGTGAGTCATTATACAAGACCCACCTGGGTTTTCCAAAAGGAAGACTGAATCCATACACGCGACCAAGGCGAAGAGCAAGGTTGACCTGCGATGAGCACTCCATTTCCCACAGTTGTTATGAACTCGTTATGAACCTTGATGGTTACCGTTTCTTTGGAAACCCGGGCCTGGTTGTCATTTTGTTTGCTGTTCTCACTGAAGGTCTGAAACTGGCGCCCCATGGAATGAGTTCATCCCTTTCACTGGTGCCCCGGTTGACCACTGAAAAGGAACTGCAAACTATAGCAAGCAGGGCCAAGCAGTCTCCCCACTTGCTTGCCAGGATCAAGGCCACTGCAAGCCTTACCAGGTCAGCTGCGGGTGACTCAAGGGTTGGGAGATGGGTTGAAGAGTGAAGTTTTCACCCAAACATTCTACCGAGTAGCGCAAACCCTGCGTCTCCATTCATGTCCATGAAGCTCCGCTTCATGTGGCCATTCTTTTTGTATCGTTTCTTGCCGTGAGATGCATCAAACATGATTTCAAAAGCCCTGGACCTAAGCCCAAGTCGTGAGGCCACCTTTGCTACTCGGGCAACGCCAGCAAACATTTCTATGACCTGCAGTCCTTCGAAGTGATGAATGGCGCCCAAGGTGTACCAGTAAGTGAATACCACCAGCCAAATGAAATCCTCCAACGGTTTACCAAAGCTTGGGGTCTTGATTCAATGTTTCTAGACTTTTATACTGTAGGACAAGACATCTTCAGTTCAGTCAGCCTGGCCTTTGGCACCCCAAGGGCTGCCAACCTAGAGACCACTAAGCACAATTCCTCTGGCGACATGGCGATCAAAATTGCTATTCAAGGTTATGGTTCGGTCTCTACAAATGCCTGCCAGGCGAAGAAGCATGCGACACAAGCTGAAGACTTGAAGAGGAGCCGTGCTGGGCTATGCTGGGCTTGATAAACTCACATGTTGAATAGAACTCATGCCAGGTAGGCCTTGTGAGATTGCACACCTGGACCCATATCCACTTATAAGGGCTCCATGCGGAAGTTTATGCTTCCTCAATGCGAGAAAGTCAGACCATTCAGACTTGTGAACTTCTGCGGTAAAGCTCGGTTGCTGGCCGTGGCATTTGCTAGGGTGAAGCTTGCCTGCAAAGAAGCACAGTTTCAGTTTCACTGTTGTAAAAGCATTTTCGAGCTTCCAACTCTATAGAGGGTGGCCCACAGAGCAATCGCTAATTTTTCACTAAAGGCTGGATCGCTTTAAGAAGGATGGCTATCATGCCTACCCTGCGCCCGCAAAGGATCGCCCTTGCACACAGGCTGCAACATAGCTGCTTAGCTCGCACAGTCCTTTCTGAAAGACTGTGGACCCCAACCCCCCAAACTTCAAAAACGACCGAAGGTCTCAAGATCGGCCGGCCGGTTGGCCAGTTGAAATCACTTTGCCAACTCTCACTCAGGCAGCTCAGTAGGCTCAGGGCCAGCAGTCCCTCGGTTGTGCATGACTTGAACACCAACCCCCAACCAGCTAAGGCTGAAGAATGGTGACAACACAGGACAACTACAGAACCACCCAACAAAAATCATAAATAAAGAGCGAGCAAGTGTCCAGGAAAGTCAGGCGCCAAGCGGAGTGCCGCGGAGTAGAACTGATGATAAGTGCTTGCATTCACGACCCGGTCATCTTTCACGCACTGGTTCCAGAATTTGATCTGCCAGGGTTTTGCGATGGGTTTGGCAAGTAAGCCTAGAGTAAGCCTAGGTACTATAATGCTGAGGGCCTGTATGGTTTTCAATTGCTAGAACCAAATTCCATTTGGAAAACCTCCCGTCCTGGAGCTTGCTAGCCGCTTTGACCCGCGGTTTGATCTCCGTTGAAGACATCCCTGATGGCTGTGAACTTTGCATGAGGAATCTCCTTCTCTTTGACTGGGCAGTAGCGCCCAGCGAAAGTCGCCACGGCATCTCCCTCCGCCGCATCAGGTGCCTTCCTAGGCTTTCTCTTCGGCGCGCCCTCAGCCTTTGGGACTTTCTTCTCCTTCCTTTTGCCAGCAACTCCATCAGCCTCAGCTTTGCCCTGCTTTTTGTTGGCCTTGGCCTTGGGGCTATTCTCAAGCTCCTCAGGCTGCTCTTCCTCCTTCACTTCCTCAGCTTCATCATCATCATCACTTACAGTGACAGGTTCTGCCAGTTTCGGGGCAGCCTTGCGGCCTCTTCCTCGGCCTTTGCCCTTGCTCTTGGCTTGCGCTGTCTTTGCCTTCTTTGGTTTGGGTTCAACCTCCTCCTCCTGCTCTTCACCCTCACCACTGGCCACCTTCCCCCGTTCAAGCTGGTCCTTGCGGAGCACAATCGGTGCCTCCATGTTGGACAGGTCTGGGGCTTCCGACTTGCCATCGGAGGTCCGTTGCTTCTTCGCATTTGCCGAGGAAGTGGGAGTCTTTCGTGCACGTTTTGTGCTAGCATCAGCCTCGCAAGCTGCACTCTCACTGTCGGCTTGCTTCTTCGCACGTTGAGGCTTGGTTTTGGCAGCTCCTGGCTTGCCTTTGACCTGAGGCCCCGGGACAACCTCAGCCGTCTTGACTTCAGGCTCCTGGGGAACCTCA